CCTCAACCCCTCTTCTAGGTTTGGCCTTGAAATAAGAAAATCAATCAAATTATATATTTGGTATAATGCATCCTAAACTAGTGCTACATGTTTGCGTGTGAAAAGATCAAACATATGCATTTATAAAATCCACATAAAACTTATAAAGAGAAAGACAAGTTAATTGATAGCAAAGTAAATTAAAAAACAATAATAATAATTTGATAAACAATAACAATTATTCTAAAAAAAGACTTAACCTCATTTTAGTTTACAATCAAATTATTGGCATTGTTGATTAATATGCTAATTTGATCCAATTATAATTTACGACATAATTTGATAATTTAAATTTGGGTCATTTACATACATAAAACACAATTCTTATGTATTTACATATCTAATACATAAACTTTCATATTTGCATGCTTAACACTTAAACCCTTAATATCACTATTACATTTTGAAAAGTAAAATACTCATTGTAAAGCATAGATTTATGATTAGAGCAGTCAGAACGGCTCGTGTTGGGCTTGTTAAGAAGCTCGTGTTCGGCTTGTTCACTAAGTTAACAAGTCAAACACAAACCAAGATTTGTTTGTTCGTGTTCAGCTCGTTTTGGCTAGAAATACTACTCGTCAATTATATATATATATATAATAAAAATTATTAAATTTGATTCAAATGATGTTTTAATATAAACAATAATTTTTAAATCTCGTCTCAACCCTTAAAATCTCATGGCTACCTGATTAGGGTTATCAAAACAATTCTTTGTTCGTGACAGCTTCTGTTCGGCTCGCTAAGAAAACGAGCCGAACACGAACACACTTTTTGAGCTCGAAATATAAACGTGTCGTGTTCGGCTCGTTTACACCCCTATTTATGATACCCATTTGTTATGAATATGAATATTAAAATTTAGGTGTCACATGGGGTAAATACATAAAAATTGTGTTGCAAATATGTACATTTTTCCTTAAATTTAGTTAATTTAGGAAATTCAATTATTTTTGAAATGGTACAAATTCAGTTAATATACCAAGTTAGGCTGGCGTTATCTAAAACAATCATATAGAATCACATTCATTTCATCTAAAGTAAGCTTATTCAGTAACTCCTGCTCCTTCTAAACATTAGCTATGGTTTTTTCTCCCTGTATATTTCTTTTTAAGCTTCATAAGACCTTCTATTAATTGTAAATATCATAACATAATATTTTAAGGAAAAGAAATACAAAATTGTTTTTGATGGCTTTTGATGAATTCGATTTTTGATATATCAAAATCATGAGCATATATCTGATTAAATCAAATGATTTAGATAAACATACAATCCACAAACAAATCAAACTTGTATTGACTTTACCTACAATTGCAAACGAAGCGAGTCAAGCCGAGTGCACTGCATGATTTTATGTGATTTTTGGCGGCTTAGACGTGTCGGAAATATTGAGTTTCGGACGAGCACTTTGTCGCGGCTTTCTCCTGATTGGAAAGTTTGATTGGCTACCATTTTGGGTAGTTTTTGAGAGGGGTAAAACCGTCGGTTCATACTTATCAATAAATTGACAGAGAAACTTTGATTAGCTGTTTGTTTAATTTTCGATCATTATTACTCGTCGTTTAGAGATAAAAATAGTTCGTCGGTCGGCCGTCAGAAGATTGTAGCTCACAAAAATGAAAGACCACATTTATTTCTTTACAATTAACACACCTGTAATCGCATTTCAAAAACACATAAAATATACATCAACCAATCTAACTTACCTATCCACACAACTACTAAACTAGAAGCATATAAAGACGATCATAAATTGAAAATAAATGCAATCATAATGTGTTAAATAACAAAAAATGAAATAATCAGCGCATAATCAATACATAACAAGTTCATAAATGTCTCATAACAGTAAACTAAATAACAACAAAACTACTCATCATCAATCTCCGTATCCTCATCATCAACCTCATCATCCACCTCCATTGGCTACTTCTCTCTCTTCATGCCTCACGTTGCTACTCCAATTCCAACCATTCTCGCCTCCATATGAGCAATTTGAGTGGCAACTCGGGCTTCTATATCTTCAGTGAATGTCATGACATGTAGAGCATTGCACAAAAACATGGAGTGGCATGGGTCATGTGCATGTCCCTTTGAGCCTAAGCCATAAACACCTCATTTTTTTACCCCCTACAACTTTATTCCAAAGCTCATAATCTGACTAATCCAAATTGTTACAAGAGATATGAACTCCTCCCAAGCAATGAATTTGAGCCCCGTTCAGCCGCTCATACTCCTCCTACAAACAAAAATGGTAAATAATTATTAAAAGCAAAATTAAATTTCAGAATAATTATAATGATATAAAAATTACTCTACCACTTATATTTGCTCTCTTCGATCTAGTGTCGACCCATTAGTGATTCGACTGATGCTGATGCGTACAAGCATGTAGCTCAATGATGGCGGGCTCTCATCCAAGCTATTGTGTCTGTTAAGATAAAAAAAAAAAATTATTAAACAATTATTATCCACTAAAATTTAATGCCAAAAACAATTCTTACCATCGTCCTCCTATACTTTGCATGTGGGATTAGCGCTCCAACG